GAGAAATATATGCCCATCTTATTTGAGCCAACAAAATTCCTAATGGGTAGACCCACTGCCAGCCTTTGGAGTAGCTCCCTTCTAGGCCCCAACACTGGCAGGGCCAAGAGTCAAGATGTGGACGCCTCGCCTGTGGTTCCCCTTCCCTGCCTGTCCCTGGTTCTGTCCACTCTGTGAAGACATCCGAGCTCACCCTTCCAAGCTCATCCCCAGGCTAACACTGCTCCTTGACACTCTTCAGGCCTAGGGTACCCATGCTTTCCACCAGGGGGAAAAGCCTGGGAGAGGTTGGGGGAGGCTCTGGTACTGAATGCAAAGACATTTGAGCAAGGAGCTCCAGGATCCTGGGAGCCCAAGGCATTGTCTAGAAGTGGCAGGTGGCTCCAGGCCTGTGATCTCCTCACCGTGTGAGAAGTGTGGCCCCTGAAGGCACAGGATCTAGGGCAGAGGTCCCAGTTGCCAGGCTCTCTCGTTCTTGCCTCCAAATCCTTGTCTTTTCATCATTCATAACTCGACAGCAGAACAAAACTTGAAGTAATCCAGTTAACTACTTGTTATAAGAACCTTGGTAAAAAAAAAAAAAAAAATGGCCTTTTAGAGCAGTGGTTCTCAACCTTCTAATGCCTCGACCCTTTAATAAGTTCCTCATGTTGTGGCGACCCCCAGCCATAAAATTATTTTCATTGCTACTTCATAACTGTAAGTTTGCAACCCACAGGTTGAGAACCGCTAGCAGGGTCGCCTAAGACCATCGGGAAAACACAGATATTTACATTACAATGCATAGCAGTAGCAAAATCACAGCTATGAAGTAGCAATGAAAATAACTTTATGGCTGGGGTCACCACAACATGAGGAGCTGTATTAAAGGGTCGCGGCATTAGGAAGGTTGAGAACCCTGTTTTAGAGGAAAAGTCTGGAACTATGGCTTGAACTGTGTTGTTTTCCTCTCATCCTTGATGCCACTACTGCCTTCTCTCTTTATGAAACTGTATAATGAAAAGTTGATGAAGACAGGTTCCTGGCAAGCTTTTCTCTGATGAGTTGGATGGCTAAGCACAAGTTTATCAATCAATATTGGTGCTAGTGTACTGAATGAAGGAGGAGTCTCTAAATCCTTGCTCTCTGTCATTTGCACATCTACCTACTTGAGGGAACTAAATGGCATTTATCTGGATCTGTTTGCACAAACACTGCATCTGGGAAGGGACTGGAATCAGTTTCAAACCCTGGCTACAGAGACTGCCGCCCTCAGAGAACCATATGGGAGCAGGTGGGAACGCAATGAGGTGTGCCACTGAAATGACCCAGGGCGGGCCCCGAACAAGCTGGGCACCTTTTTCTGCTACTTAGGAAGCCGTGGACTCCGCCTACGGTAGCAAAGATGTGGCAGTGCCACTGACAACGGGATCCAAGCTCCAGGTCACACACGAAGCACAAGGACTCATTCCTCGATAATCTGTCTCCTCTCCGTGGCCTGACTGGCAGGGCCAGTAAAGCTGGCCTCACAGACATGAAAATACCCAAACCGTTGCACTTTCTCTGGGCATCTTCAGGGCTATTTTCCTTTAGTTCAGTAATTCTCAGCCTTATTTTGCACTTCGGATCTCTATGTCCTTGAGGCTGGATAATTACCAAAGGACATGAGTTCTCACCCACACTTCAGAGAGCTGGCATGGCCCTTCAATCAGCAAGACGGAATTAAAAGGCCACTGAGCGAATTAGTCTTGATACAGATTGAATGCTTGTGTTCCCTCAAAGTTCATATGCTGAAACCTAATCCCCAATGCGATGGTATTAAGAAGTGGGGCTGCTGCCGAAACCGGTTGGGCTCAGTGGACAGATTGTCAGTCTGCGGACTGAAAGGTCCCAGGTTCGATTCTGGTCAAGGGCATGCACATTGGTTGCAGGCACATCCCCAATAGGGGGCATGCAGGAGGCAGCTGATCGATGCTTTTCTCTCATCGATGTTTCTAGCTATCCATCCCTCTCCATCTCTGTGAAACATCAATAAAATAAATTTAAAAAAAAAAAAGAAGAAGTGGGGCTGTTGAGAGATGATTAGATTAAGAAGATGGAGGCATCATAAATGGGTTTTGTGTCCTTAAAAAAGAGATCCCAGGGGAACAGTGGGAAAAAACAAAAAAACAAAAAACAACCACACACAAAGAGAGCCCAGAGAGCTCCTTTTCCCCTTCTGTCAGGGGAAGACGCGAGAAGACAATTGCCTCTGAGCCAGGAAGAGCGCTCTCACCAGACACAGTATCTAATGACACTTTGATCTTGGACTCACCAGCCTCCAGAACTAAATGTGAGAATTAAATGTTCAGTCTTCTAAGCCACCTAGTTTATATTATTTTTGTCATAGCAGCTCAGGGAGATGAAGATTATGTCCCCAGCTTTCTATCTATATGTTGTTGATTAGTTTCCCTATAGGAAAAGTGGTTTGTAAGGTACTGCCTCGGTCTAAAGTGCCATGGTGCTACACAGTGCTATGAAATGACAGGCATATTAAATATCCTTTCCCCCATCCTCATCTAATTTTTCTTATCTGTCAGGTCTTGGCTTAGAAGCTAATCCATTCCGTAGGCCCTCCCTCCCTCTCCCTAGCCAGCAGTGTGGGCTGGGAGACTCTTCTCTGCGTTCCCATGGTGCTCTGGACTTCCTTATTTGAAGTTGTATCCTCAGCACCCATTTCTAGCAGAAACTCAATGTCATAGCATCTGAAATGATGAAATGAGGGGATGGTTTCTGATAGCTACCACCCCCTTGGCCACTGGACTAGTGTGAGATGTTCTGAGATAACTATTCATGGAACATGCTGGAATGGCCTTTGTTCTCCTGCCTGCATTTGGACATATGTACCCCGAGTACACACCTACTGAGTAAGATGACAGTACCACTGTTTTTGTTTTGTTTTTTCAGGGGAAAACTGGAAAGAAATCTTCCATTTTTATGGTCAGAGACACACAGACTACTATACTTAGCTCAGTTCTCATTAATAAAATAGAAGATCCTTTACCTTCTCTTCTGAGCTCTTCAAATTAAAGTAAGGTCTGATTGTCTCAAAGCATTACTAGTTATATAGCAACATCGTTTATATCACAAGATTGGGAATGACATACATGTCCAGTCAAAGAGTGATGGTTAAGTAAACTATGACACTAAGTAAACTGGTGAACACATGCGGCTTCTGACAACGTGCCCACCATGTAGCCTGAAGTTAAAGGGGAGACATACATGACATCTGCCGTGTGACTGCCATCATGGGAAACACACTAAAGAGATGCGTACACTATAGAAAGATGTGCTACAGAATATTAAGAATGACTCTGTTTATGTGTTAGAACTATGGGTGGTTTTTCTGTGTTTCCGAATTTTTCAGATTTTTCTCATGGTGAAAATCAAAATAAAAAAACCATTTCATTGTTAATTAAAAACATCTTGTTCTTTTCTGCTAGGAAACTTTTGGCTATTGACACTGGGTGTGTCCGCTTGAATGAGCTGCATAGAGGAGCAGAGAGAAGACAATCAAAGCAGGGGATGGAAGCATGTGGAATCCCCTGGAGCAGCGACTAACTGCCTGTGTAACAGTCACTGTTCTGAGCTCTTCCTACATGCCAGGCATTGCCCATACTTTTTTTTTCCTCATTTGTCCTCATAAACATTGTAGGACATGGGTACTCGTGTTACTGCCATCTTCTAGCCTGAGACTGGTGGGTTCTTTTGCTGGTATGAGGGGGAGCCGCAGAGTTGGCCCTGGGTAGTCTGTCTCCATGGTCTGACATTCCTCACTGTGCTCTACTGCCCCCCTCCAATGAGCACAGCTGAGGGGGAACCGAGCACACACTTCATTTCACGCAATGATCTGTGTCACCAAAGGCACAGCAGCTGCTATTCCCACCTTTAGGAGTCTATTCAGATAAGTCTTCAAGTAACTCTTGTCAGTGGAATGGTCTCTGGTAGCCACTTGTTCACTATATTATCTCAGGGTGCTAACGAGAGGGGAGCCATAAATTGTCCTTCTTTGGGACAATATGCTCGGCTTTGAATATAAGACAAAAATCTAATGCTCTGGGGGCAACAGGCTCATTTATAGATGCTCTCATGGCCAACTTCGCAGCCCCAGGTCAGCACGGATACATTCCAGGCCAGCTTCCCACTTTACAAGTGGATAATTGCTGCTCTCTCTTTGCCGGAACAATTACAGGCAACCTTTCTCCATGCTCTCGTTGAAAGAAGATTCACCTTGCAAAGGACCGGTTACGCCCCGCCGACACCATTAGCGCACACAGCGCTTGGAGGCTCTCTATTACACAGTCACATTTCCTGTGCACAGAACCGGGTGGTGTAACATTTCTGGAAGGGAGGGGAGCGGAGACTTCACTACAGGAGCCTTCTAGGAGAACAGAGCAGGATGCCCGGGGCGAGTCCAGTCCTGCTGGAGTCAGGCTTATCCCTCAAGCACAGCGTCTGCCCCCCTCCCTGCCACTTCAGGGAAATGTGAAGGAGGCGAGGGGAACTATAAACACACAGTCCATGAAGTGAGCCAGGCAGATTGGTCTGGAGGAAGGGACACTGGGCCTAAGGGAAATCCATTTCAAATTAAATTAAAATTAAAAACAAATGTGTGAGCAGAGAAACCTTAACGAGCAGAAGGAAACAACTCAACAGAGAAATCCTAACAAGAAGACAGAATTGTAAAAAAAAAAAAAAAAAAAAATCAATAAAATATATATTAAAAAAATAAAATAAAATGTAATACAGATAAAAATGTATACAAACAATGTCTGTAGAGTCTATTACATTTTGAAAATGAAATGTATTTTAATAAATACTGTCTTTATAATTTAAAAAAAAAAAGAGAGAGAGAGAAGACAGAACCGAATCATCAGAGAAGGTGCCTTGAGGACAACCACCGGAGGATATAATTGCGTCCACTGTACCCTGTCTCTTGGTCCCGTCCCCCGAGGGGCAGCCCCGTGGCGTCCGTCACTCACTTTCTCTGGAACCGGACCACGGGATCCGCCAGCAGGTCAGTGACATCGAGGGTCCTCCCCTTCTCGATGACGTCGCGGTGCTTCCGGACGAACAGCCACCCGACGTGGGAAAAGAAGAAGCCCCTGCGGGCGTTGTGGGGGTCGGCGTCCGTCTCCGAGTACTTGTGGTGGACGCGGTGGTCCCTGGACCACTCGAAGATGTCGTTCTGCAGAGAGAACGCAGACCCTGAGTGAAGAGACAGTGCTCCCTGGCACCTTCTCAAAAGCATCCCAACCTCCCCCGCCCCACGCCTCCCCATCCTCCCCACGCCTCCCCATCCTCCCCACGCCTCCCCATCCTCCCCACGCCTCCCCATCCTCCCCACGGACTTCCACTTGCTCCTGTCCTCAGCCTCACGGTCAAGCCCTGCGGTTTCTCTGCGGTGGCTTCCGTAAGGACAAGAGTAAGTCCTCACTCACTCTAAGAGGGATCTTAGCTTGTGTTTGGGGTGTGTGTGCCTGCTGCAGGAGGCTCAGACGTACTGGGTGAACTAGTGGGGAACCCTGAAAGAAAGTTCTGGAGCAGGCTATGGAAGTCTCCTGAGAGATCATTCATGAAGGACAGAGAGACAGGATGAAGTCTCAGGATGAAGACTTGGTTGTCGGAGGTTGAGTATGAAAAGGGGTTGGTTCTTGGCCCAGAACTCTGCTCTCACACCCATTCTTTAATGGCCTTGACATCCAACTTAATGGAGAGCAGGAAGCCAGCGAGTAAACACTCAAAGAGCTGCTTCACCAAGTCGCTGAAAAATACCAAGGCACACATAACATCGCTTACGGACTGCTCTAGCAGTGTGTCACGGAAAGGCAGGGAGGTGACTTTCTTGAGGGATCTGGTGTATGTGGCCATCCCCACCCGTGAAGAAGCAGCAGGGCCCAAGGGGCAGGCTGGATAGCGAGAGACTCTGCGGTCCACGGAAGGAGAAACATCAGAGTCCAGCAGATTCTGCCAAGCTCTCAGGGTGAGGCTCGGGCACTCATGGGGACACATCCTGTTGACCCTCTTGTGATGGGAGATGAGACAGGGGGCTGGAGGTCCTGTGTGAGCGATCAGGGGCAAAACCAAAGGCACTGAGGGCAGTATTGGTAATGACACCTTATCCATAGCCATGGGCCAGTGAAGTCTACAGACCTCTAATGTGTGCTCAGTTTTGCTTTTATCTGATAATATTTTTAAAACTTTGAGGAGGCAAATTAGGTTGAAAGTGATTCTTTTAATAGGAAAATTAACCTGAAAAAAATATATACATACATATATATATATATATATATATATATATATATATATATAAAACTTTATATAGTATATAAGCTTTTTTTTGAAAAATACAAAAATAAGGCAATAGCTGAAACCGGTTTGGCTCAGTGGAGAGAGTGTTGGCTTGCGGACTGAAAGGTCCCAGGTTCTATTCCGGTCAAGGGCATGTACCTTGGTTGTAGGTACATCTCCAGTGGGGGGTGTGCAGGAGGCAGCTGATAGATGTTTCTAACTCTCTATCCCTCTCTCTTCCTCTCTGTAAAAAAATCAATAAAATATATTTTAAAAAATAAGGCAATAATGTTTGATACCATACTATTCGGAACTTTGTCATGTTTTTTTTTTTTCTTCTTTTTTTTTTAGTTTTTTTAAATCAATCTTTATTGTTCATATTTTTACAAAGGTTCCTCATTTCTTCCCCACTCCACCAGGTGAGGAACTTTGTCATGTTTTCATTAAGAATCTGCTCTTTCACAGATATCGGCGTCATCCTGCTGATGAGAAGAAAGGGTACTATTTTATTCTAAAAGTTCTAACAATTATTTTAATCCAAATGGGGTTCGTTGAGTTTTTGGTTTCTCTCTGGCTCACCTAGTGCTACTAAAAGGCTACTCAACCTGGTGCATCCTGTAGCGCCATTGAAAACTTTTAACGTTTGCTTAACCTTTGGGTATAGCAAACTTTACCCAAAAAAGAGGTAGAAAGACCTTAAGAAGTACGTGCTCAGCTTAAATGGGTGCTTAGCAGTTTGTATAAGGAAAAATTTGCAACTTGGTTTTTTGTGACAGAAAAAGAGGCCTTTGGACTTTACATATATTTAAACAGACTGTATTGGAAAGAGTGAATGCACTTATTATTAATAATCTCAGAATGTGTAGTTGGGAAGAAATTTCAAATGTCAGTCAAGACTACTGCAGCCCAGAATAATTTATTCCTTTTACATTAGTTTATTGCTTTTATTGCAGTGCCCATCCGGACATAGGAAGGAAGAGGGGCCCTCTCTTCCCAGTTCAGATGGCAAAATTAGGGCTTAGAAGACATTTACTCATCTACTAAGTGCCAACAGTAATGGAACAAAATAGTTCTTTGTTCATGTCCCTTTCAATGATATATATCCCTTATTCTCCAAATTCAATGGCAAGGAGGGGGGGTATCTTTTTCAAAAATCTCTCATTATTTTAAAATATATTTTGATTGATTTTTTACAGAGAGGAAGAGAGAGAGATAGAGTTAAAAACTCTCTCTCATCGATCAGCTGCCTCTTGCACACCCCTTACTGGGGATGTGCCCACAACCAAGGTACATGCCCTTGACCAGAATCGAACCTGGGACCTTTCAGTCCGCAGGCCAACGCTCTATCCACTGAGCCAAACCGGTTTCGGCAAATCTCTCATTTTTTTGTTAAAAGGTTATGCTAATAACCTTTAAGCTATCACAGTGCAATTTTTTAAAAACTTTACGTGGTGAGTTCCAAAGCCCTAGAAACATTATTCTCACAAAATTAAGCATAATACAACGACAAAAGAATGATGATGAAGACAAACTGGAACAGAGATATTTATTTTAATTCCTCCTACCTGGATACCTTCCTGCCAGAAGCCACTTTGACTGTAATATTGGAACGAAGCCCAGGATTGGCCACATCCCAAATAATCAAACACACAATCGGGCCAAAAATACTCTTAAGATGTGTGGGTTTTTAATCCTTTGTTATTGTTTTGTTTTTTGTTATTCTGACTCCGGTGAAAAAGTGACTCCAAGAACAAGATGTCAGCCAAAAACAGGGCAGAAAGGGAATAGAATTCATATGTTCACTCAGAGGCCTTTTCTTCCCACTCATCTGCACTTCGCTTCTCTCCTGGACTGATGTGGAGTGGGAGCCAATCTGTGAGCAGCATTTGGGTTTGATGAAAAGCTGTGTATCCCTCGGGTGTGTCTGGTAGAGTCAATATGTGCAGAAGGAAAAGCTGAGGGCTGGTGAGGAGGGAGAGATGGCTAAGCAAACTTCAGGAGGTGGGAGTGAGAGGAAACACCCCGCCATCGCCATGGCAATATCCTGGCCATCTCTCTTCCTCCCAGTGCTTGCATAGTGCTAATTACTCTTGTCTGGAACTATGTGTACGGCCCCATCATCTCCGCTTCACACACACACACACACACACACACACACACACAAAAATGAGGCACAGAGAGATGGTGGACTTGCATCAGTGAGCTGACACTCAAACATGTGGACCCCATCTGTTCTTGCCCCGTGTGCACGTTTTGACAGCGGCCATGACACTGAGCTCGGCAGCAACTTCTGAAATCTAAAGACATATATAGTCTAACAAATCAACAAGTGGTTCCATTTGCAAGTTAGAATTTATACCTAAAGATGGGTTCTGGTAGATCACAATCTTAATACGTAACCCCATTACCTTCCAAAGTAGACATTCACCACATGTTTATTGATCATTCCTGACAAAGAACGGGTGGAGAATGAAGCTACCCTTGATCTATGAGCCCTGAGTATAACTGAGGCACCGGCAGGTGGGGGAGCGGAAGAGGAAGAGGAAGAGAGCAGGTTAGCAGTGCACAGCTCATGTGATAGGTTTTATTACATGAGGAGCCACACCATGTCCTACATTGTGCTGTCCGAGAGAAATATAATACAAGCCATATATGGAATTAAGTTTTTTCTAGTCGCAACATTAAAAAAATGAAAAGAAACAAAATTAATTTTAATAACATATTTTATTTAACATATTTTAAATGCCATTCCAATACATGATTAGCATGTTATTAATGAGATATTTTACTTTTTTTTTCCTGTACCAATTCTTCAAAATTGGGTGTGCCTTTTATACTTCTGGCACACGTCAATTCGGACTAAACAGAATTCAAAGTGCTCAGTAACCAGCTACATGTGGCTAGTGACTACCATATTGGACAGTGAAGTTCTAGCTCATAACTTATATGCTTTTCTATGTATGTGCTATACTTTTTAAAGTTTTTTTTAAAGCCTATATAATAAAAGTCCAATATGCTAAGTGTCTAGTCAACCAGTCCTCCATTCAACCAATCAAAGTGTAATATGCTAATGATATGCTAAGGCCGCTCAACTCGCTATGACATGTACTGACCACTCTGAGGCAGACGCTCTGACCAGTAGGTTAGCTTGCTGCTGGGATCCAGCCAGTCGGGACTGAATGGGACCAGCCAGACATGCTGTGGAGCCCTCCCATGGTCTCTCCTCAGCTGGCCAACCTCATGTGTCTCTCCCTGGCCCCAATCGTGCGCTGGTGGTATCCCTTGGCCTGGCCTGCACCCTCTCACCAATCCAGGACCCCTTAGGAGATGTCAAAGAGCTGATTTCAACCTGATCCTGCAGGCCAGGCCAAAAGACCCCACTGGTGCATGAATTTGTGCACTGTGCCCAAAATAAATTAAAATTTTTTAAGTTTTAAAAATTCAATGTTACTTACTGTTGAGAGTGTGAAATTGGCACAAATCAGGTGAATGGCAAATGGGCTGCACATACCAAAAGTGTTAAAATTGTGCATATGTAAAATCTAACAATTTGTTTTCTTTATCTTAAGGAAATAATCAGGCTGTGTACAAAGATTTAAACACAAAGATGCTCACTGCCGTGAATACATGGAAAAGCCCTGAATTTCCACAGAAGAGATTATGATTGAGTACCTTAAAATACATTTTTTAATTCAATACTATTCGTGTGTGTGTGTGTGTGTGTGTGTGTGTGTGTGTACATAGAAAACTTCTGGAGAAAAATATTAAGAAAAAGATATTAGTGTTACTTCAGGGAGTGAGGCTAAGATATAGGAGATGAGGAGAAATATTTTTACATTTGATCTTATACTATGACACTTTTAACAAGAGCATCTGTTGGTTTTGTATTAAAAGTGA